TGGGGGGGGGGGGGAACGGCCGCCCCTGTGCCTGGGAGCAGCAGCTGCTGAGCCCTGGCTCGCCTTCCCCTCTGCCCCAGCACTGCTGCGAGCCAGCTGTCCCTGAGGAATGGGAGTCCCGGTGCCTTGTTCCAAAAAGGGAACGGTTCCGGTGTCCCAAAGCCAGGCAGTGGTTGTGGTGGGGTGGGGACGTCCCGAGTCCGACCGTGGCCCCCCCACCACCAAAAGCAGGGCATCCCCTGGCCCTGCCGGCCTGCGGGACCCCACATGGGTCATGGGCCAGCACCTCCCTCTGCCGCAGCGCTCCTTTCCTCACCCTGCGCCCTTTCCGCATCGCCCAAGGCCAGCGTGCCCACCCCGACACCGTCCGCGGAGGAGAGCTCCCTGCCGCTGGTCCCCTCCAGCCTTGCCACCACCGTGAGCGTCACCCTGAACGGCACTGACCCCTTCGAGGTAGCACCAGGGCTGGGGCCTGGAGCAGGCAGGGGAGGTCCCCCCCCCTTCGCACCCCCAGCATCTCCCCCGTCCCTTAGGACACTGGTGAGGAGCTTGTGCTTGAACTTGAGGAGGATGGAGTCACTGGGGCTGACAGCAGGGAGCTGCCAGGCTATGAGGACTACTATGACGGGGACACTGCAAGCCGGGAGCGGTTCGGCCCTGCCGAGCGGGAGGAGACGGTGATCCAGGCTCCCCAGGTAACGCTGGGGATGAGGACCGGGACCGGGGCCCCCCCCCCCAGCTACGGCCAGCCGAGCTGGGGCCACGGTATGGGGTCCAGGGGCCACGTAGGCAGTTTGGAGCCCTTCACCCCAGCCCAGCTCTCGGCCGTTTCACCTCACTCTGGTGTTTTGCAGGAGCCCAGCTTCAAGGGGGAGAAGGGCGAGCCAGCCATCGTGGAGCCGGTGAGTGGGGCACGGCCCCCCTGGGGACGTGTGGTCCCCAGCCCTCTGCGGCACCCCAGGGCCACCCATCTGAGATGGTTCACAGGACGGGGCTTGCTCTCTTCTCCTTTAGGGTCGGCGATTTGAGGGGCCGCCGGGACCGCCAGGCCCTGTGGTGAGGAGCGAGGGGCTGCTGTGGGGAGGGATTAGTGACACCAAAGCGTTAACATGCCTCCATGTTCTCCGCAGGGGGAAACAGGTCCCCTGGGACCACCGGGGCTCCCAGGGCTGCCCGGGGACCCTGGAGATCAGGTACAGAGCAGTTGGGAAGGGCTGTGATGGGGCCAGAGCTGCCCCGCAGCCAGGGCTGGGGCTGCAGGCATCCCAGCGCTCCTGCCGGTGCATGCCGGCGTGCGCGCGGGGCAATGGAGCTGCAAGCCCTGACCTGACAGCCTGGCTTCTGCCGGCGCAATGACTGCTTATCTCCCCTTTCCCCTCCGCCAGGGTCCCGCGGGACGGCCGGGGCTGCCGGGAGCTGACGGGATCCGCGGCCCGGCGGGGACCATGATCATGTTGCCGGTAAGTGCTGGGGCAAGATGGGGCCTTCGTGGACCCTTCCGCCTGCTCCCCGCGGAGTCTGGTGGGGGACAGCTCTCTAGGTGACACAGAGCTGGCTGTCCCCGGGGCTGGGGTCCGGTGCCTCCCCTTGTCCCTCACCCTGCTCCTTCCCCCCCAGTTCCAGTTTGGTGGAGACTCCCTCAAGGGTCCCACCGTCTCTTTCCAAGAAGCCCAAGCCCAAGCGATCCTGCAGCAGGCGAAGGTAAGGACCCCCGCAACCAGCCCCCCTGCCCAGCCTCCCCGCTCCCCCTCATGCCTCTCCTCCCTTCTCTCCCCCCCTTGCCATGAAGGGTCCCCCAGGTCCCATGGGGCTGACCGGCCGCCCGGGACCGCTGGTGAGTACGGCTGGTGTGAGGGCCGCTGCGGGGTGCCCACCCCACTAAGATGCACTTTGTCGGGCACATCTCTGCATCGAGCAAACGCTCATGGTGGGGTCTCCACGCTCTTCTGTTTTTGTAGGGTCTACCTGGACACCCGGGCCTGAAAGGAGACGCGGGGGACATGGGGCCACGGGTGAGTCTTGCTCGGGCTGGGCTGTGCGAGGAGAGGGCGTGCGGGGTTATGCCCCTGGCAGAGGTCTGGCAAGGCTGCAGGCAAGCCCGGCCCTGACGTCTTCCCCTCTTCTCCATCAGGGTCCCCGGGGAATGCAGGGACCATCGGGGCCACCGGGGAAACTGGGCAGACGGGTAAGCACTGAGGGTTCGGGTTTTGCCTCCCCCAAATGTCCTGGTCCGCTGTCACATGCCAGGGTGCCCCTTTCCCATCCCTGTCCCAAGGGGTTCTGAGCCTCGGGCCCCTTCCCACTCCCTCGACTTGTCTTGCAGGGTCGCGCTGGAGCGGATGGTGCCAGGGGTATCCCGGGGGAAACCGGACCCAAGGTCTCATGCGTGGGGTGGTATCGGTGCTGGCAGCAGGCTGGGGGGCCAGGACACCCGGGTCCTTGTGCAGCAGGGGGTGACGTGGCCTCAGCCTGACGCCTGTCCTACCCCACAGGGTGACAGGGGCTTCGACGGGCTGCCGGGGCTGCCGGGCGAGAAGGGCCACAGGGTAAGTGGGACCGTGCTGTGTCCCTTCCTGCCACCACCGTCCGCACGCCACCTCACCCTCTCTTTTCTGCAGGGTGACGTGGGGAAGCCAGGACCAGCGGGCCCCCCTGGGGAGAAAGGCGCCCGGGTGAGGAGTGTGGGGAGGGATGGGAAAGGATCAGGCCCTGCTGGTGTTGGCGGGACATGCTCAGCTCCGCTCTGTCCTCTCTAGGGCTCGGATGGCCTCCCGGGACCTCGGGGGCAGCCTGGGGAACCCGTAAGTACCTGCTGCCGGCACCGGGAGCCTGGCCTGTCTTCTTCCCCAGCCCCAGGAGCGGTGGGGGGCAAGCTTGGCCCCCGGCTTTCTCCCCGCGGCTTTTTGGAGGAGAGATTTGGGCACTGGACTCCTCCACCCCGGGGAATATGGGTTGCTGGGGTCAGTGCTGCCATCTGAGCTTCCACTGACCCCTCTGTCCTTGGCCCTAGGGTATGCGAGGCCTGATCGGCTCACGCGGCTCCCCTGGGCCCCCCGGACCACCGGTATGAGACACTGCTCCTGCCTGTCTGTCTGTCCATTTGTCCCCACCTCGGGCCAAGGGGATTTTTCTCTGTCACCCGTCAGCCTGGGCACAGCATCGTCCTTGGTGCGGCGTCACCTTGGGGCGCAGCGTCGCCCTGACCCTCCCTCCTTCCTCCGCAGGGTGTCGGCGGCATCGACGGAGCGCCAGGGCCCAAAGGCAACGTGGTGGGTGTCAGTGGGACCCCCCTTGGGAGCACCCAGCCCGAATTAGCCAGCAAGAGACCGGGGTGCTCCAGGGAGGGGGAGGCAGGGCTGGGGCAAGAGCTGCCACGTGCCCTCGTGGGGTGCGTGGGCCAGGAGGGTGCACGGGGGTGCAGTGAGGGTCAGAGTGGCACATCCTGGGGTCTGAGGAGGTTTTTTGCTGTACTAAAGGACTTTCTCTGCCCCCCCAGGGAATCCACGGGGAGCCGGGACCCCCGGGACAGCAAGGGAACCCCGGTCCGCAGGTACGTGGAGGTGATGGGGGACCAGCGGGGTGTCCCCACGGGGCTGGGGGCTCGGGTGTTCCCTCAGCCCCTTCCCAGCACCTGGGTCTGTTCTCTCGCAGGGTCTGCCCGGCCCCCAGGGCCCCGTCGGGCTGCCAGGGGAGAAGGTGAGTCAGAACCCAGAGTGGATGGGGGCGCCCGAGCTGCCCCCCATCTCTGAGCGGGTGGTGGACCCGCCGCAGGGGTGACCCCAGTCCCTCTGTGTCCCCACACATCCTCCTCTCGCCCAGGGCCTGCTGGGGAAGCCGGGAATACACGGTGTGGCTGGGGCCGATGGGCCCCCGGTGAGTACCGGCGAGGGGCTGTGGGGTCACTCTGGTCCCCGGCGGAGCGGGGACCACAGGGTAGCGTCACCGTCCCAGCTTGGGGCTCACCCTCTTGTGTGTCCCTGCAGGGTCACCCCGGCCGAGAAGGGCCAGCCGGAGAGAAGGGCCTCCAGGTAAGGGGCTCGTCCCCCCCTCATGCCCTGGGCAGGAGGAAGGGATCCTCTTTCCAAGGCGGGAATCCCATTTTTGCTGACTTTCTCTCTGTCCCCAGGGCCCTGTGGGTGCCCCTGGTCCCGTTGGCTATCCGGGACCCCGTGGGGTGAAGGTAAGCACAACTTCCCCCTCTGCCGGGCTCTGCCGGAGTACAGTGGGGGGGGTCAGGCAGTGTCCTCTGGTTTGGGGTCCTCCCTCCAACCCCTCTGTGTCTCTGCAGGGAGCTTTTGGCGTGCGGGGCCTGAAGGGCAGCAAAGGGGAGAAGGTAAGAGGTGTCGAGGAGAGGGGACAGCAGGGGACGGGGGTCCTTGTCCTACGGTAGCCACGGGTCCCTGGTGTTGGGAGGCACTCATCCCTGCCCTGAGATAGCTGTGGGTGGAGGGACGCCTGGGCTGCAGCTGGGGGCAGCCCCTCTGTATTGGGATTTGGGGCTCAGCCCCACGCTGTGACCCCATTTGGGGCTTGCGCCAGGGCTAACGCAATCTCAGCCCCGCAAAACGTACCTCTGTTCAGGGAGAAGATGGATTCCCCGGCTTTAAGGGGGACATGGGCCCCAAGGGTGACAGGGTAAGTGGGGTCCCCGGGGTGGAAGTTGGTGGGGGGTCTCCTCGTCAAGGCTGTGTGGGTTGGCTGCAGGTGCCACGAAGCCCCGTGGGGTTTTGCTGGCTGGCTGCAGGATTCGGGGTGGGGTTGGGGGGGGGGTTGTGCCA